AAAAGCAGTTAATAATCAAACAGAAATACGTATCTTATTATATCTTGTCATCTTCAGAGTAGTTGCCTCCACTCTTAGACTTGATACTATCAAGCATATCAAATTCAAATAAAATCAGTCAAGACAAAACAGCAGTCTAACAAACCAGCTTCAAATAAGATCAGTCACAGTAAGACAATGTAAGTAAAACAGGGCTTCAGTTTAAGTTTATAGGATATTAAGGATATTTACCATAGTATATCCTGCTATTTTTGGGATAGCTGTCTGTACCCTCAAATCTAGTATGTGTGACATACTGGAACAAAATAAAATCAAACTAAACAGAGCGGTAAGGCTAATGTGGCTTTTAAATCATGATACACTATTAACAATGTCCTCTGCCTTCCTTTTTTAGGCAATTCCTCCCCTTTCCCTTCCTCAGCGTGCTTTGCATATTTTGGGTCTCATTGACTTCTCTAGTTTTTAGATTAGGAAGACAACCCATTATCTATCTAATTGGTGTTGAACCTTTTTACCCCTGAACTTGATCTTGAGCTGTATTCTTTTACTTACTAAAGCCACAAGGTTTTCCTTCCTTATAGCTGAGTAGTTCTCCACTGCACAAAAGTGTTATGACTTTCCAACCTATCTGCAGCTGCTGGACGAACTGTCCCTATTTCTCTCTGGTTCCCTGTCACATACAGCATTGTTTTCTCAGCTTTGACTTGCAGTTCATTAAACCTCTTTCAGGTTGAGTATATTTCCTATTCAGAGCATCTCAATGGCCCCTATCTCCTGATCTACTCTGCCTGTGTTTCTTTTTGTTAGTGTATTGAGGACATATATGTTAGAGACTATTTCCAATCTTTTCTGCCTCATCTCTGCTATGCTATTTTTCTGCTATTATTTATCCAATTTTCTCCTTTATTCCACTGTCTGCCCCATTCATTGTGGCCTCTCTACCACTGTTGCTGGAATCTTGGTGTTTTTTTTTTTTCTATCTCTCTCTAAAATGTCCTTCAGTATTTTTTGTAGGGTTGGATTGGGGGCTATGAACTCCCACAGTTCCTTCTTGTCTTGGAAACACCTTATTTCTCTGCTAATTATGAGAGAGAGTTTTTCAAGGTACTTCAATCTGGGTTGCAAGTTATTCTCTTTCAGGGCTTGGACTACCTACTTCACTCCAGGCTCTTCTTGATTTGATAGTTTGTGTTGAGAAGTCTGTCATTATTTTGATGGATTTTCCTTTATAGATGATCTGCTTATTTTCTCTGACCGCTTTTAATATTTTGTTCTTGTGGTCAGTTTCTTGGATCTTTATTATTATATGTCTGGGTATAGATCTATTTTGGCTGGAGTTCTGTATGCCTCATTATCTGGATATTTCTTTTTCCTATGCTTGGGAAGTTTTCCTTAATTATTTCTGTGAACAGCCTTTGTAATGCATTTGTGGCTACTCCTGCTTCTTCGCTCATGTTTTTTATTCTTAAGTTATAGATCTTCTTGTTGCCTTCTAGCCGTTGAATTACTCCCTCATTCCTTGTTATTTTTAAGAGGTCTTTTCTTTCATGATCACACATTGCAAATCTATCTTCAAGTTTTGAAAGGCTAACTTTAGTTTCTGTCAAGACATTTTGCCAGCTTTCAATGGAGTTTTTAATTTCTTGACAGTCTCTTTGGGTCTGTTTCACGTAACCTAGATTTTGTCTTTATTCTTCACCAAAAGTTTCTCTTCCTTTTCTGGGTTCCTCCCTCTTCCATTTGAGTCTTCTTGAGAGGGGCTTAGCATTTCTTTTATTAATCTTTTTATATCTTGCCTCACTTGGATTAGAATTTCAATTTTAACTTTATCTATGAGGTCAGGAAAGTATTTCTTTATGTCCAGTGACATGGCCTATATTGCATGATTGCTGCACTGGATCTCTTCTGTATTTACTTCTCTTGGATGTATTTTCCCAGGGTCAGTGGCTAGAGGTTTTTTCTTGTTTATTTCTCTTGTCAAGTTTCTGGTTTCTTTCAGACAGGTGTATGGTGTAAGTCTCAGGCCCTCTCTGTATTGCTTATGGTTTTTCTGAAGTGTGCTGGCTGAGGGCTTGTGGCCTTCTCCAGTTTGCTGTTATCTGAGGTACACGCAGGGACTGTGGGCTGGCCCACCTTCTCTGAGACAGTCAACTAGCGAGTGCCTTCAGCAACTTAGGCTGTGCTGTGGTGGATGTCACAGGTTTGGGACTGGTTCATCCCTGGCTATTGGTTCCTGACCAGGGGCATGGCTCAGCCCAAGCAGGTCCCAACAGTACTTTTTGGGCCAGGGGCAGCTGACTGGCACCATGCCAGACTCAGGCCTATCCTGCTCAACTCCAGTATGTCTTCCAGCTAGCCACACCCACCGTGGTACCCAATTTCCAGCACTCATCGTGAATTAATGAGTTCTCCATCTTGGCTCCACTCCACACTGTGCCTTGTCCTCCGGCCAAGGACCTGGGACTCACCAACTCCCATTATCCGTTGTCACAGCTTCAGTGCAACCATGAATCGTCCGACTCCCGGCATGCCCAACACAGCACGGGACTGGTTTCAATGAGTGCGTCCGGCTCCAGCCCTCCACCTGCATTTTTCCTTCCTCTTCCCCTTTTTCTTTTTCCTCAGTTTCTTCCTGGCTCACAACAATCTCTCTCCCCTTGTCTGGCCCTCTCCATGTTGTCAAATTCCAGCATCTGAGCTTTTTTCCCAGAGAGGTTTTCCACGTAGCTACCTATAAAGCTGCCATCTTCTTGTCTCTAGAATATATTTAGTAAGAGAAAGAAAGCTTCTGTCCAAGAGAGAGACAGAAAGTGTTCCTAATGGGTTACCAAAGACTCTTGTCTTTGCTACAGACATTTATAAAGCAAAACCACAAAGTGAGGGGGTCCAAGGTAGGAAAAGTGAAAAATCACAAGCTGAGGCAGAAGTTAGGACAGAACTATGGTCCACCAATAAGATTAAAATTATAATTTCTCAGATAAAATTGATTAAATTGGGGGATAAATGGGGAAGTGAGTCACATAGCAAGCAGGCATGCTCATAAAGAAGGGTCTCTTTCTTTAGGGGGTTCTACTTGTGGCTCCATCTGGCTTCCTTGGGGTGATAGAGTCCTATTTAGAATATCAATTCATGCTTATCCTTAGGAAATATTTGGGTGCACTCGTTTGTTTTTTTGTCGTGAGATCTGGCCCACAATGGGAGGTGTCTATCTTCCACAGCTGCAAGGAACCTGAACATTTGTGCTGGATTGTTCAAGGGCCCAGGTCTGTTTGACTGCCTATAATATTTATATCTAACTCAGCTGCCTATAACAATAATAAGGTTTCACATTTATTAAAGTTAGTGGAAAAATCTGTGTCTACAAAGTAAGGTTGGTCAAGGTAAAATTAAGAAAAACACACTAAACCTATGCCATAAACAGTGCTGACCTTGGGACTGGAGATATACGTCACCAGTACAGCTCCTGCCTGGCAAGTGCAAGGTCATGAGTTTGATCACTATCGCTAGCACCCCTCCCAAAAATGAATGGATGAATAAAAGCAATGCTTGTCTTGAGACATTTATGCTAAATCAATGCTGTCATTCTGAAGCAGTTCTGAAACTCACTTTTTGTAAGTGTATTTCATTACATTGTACTTGATGCATTAATGTCCTAACTTGATTCAAAATGATTACACATTATTGGTCATTTTGACTTTGAGGAAGAGGCAGAAACTGCATGTTGCCAGATATGGGAAATAAGGTGGATGAGGACACACCCTAACATTTGCACAAGACTTTTTTCTTTTGGTTAGCACAGGGAAATAGCCATCACCATATTATCCTGACCATATCACAGAATGTGAGCAAAAAGACTTCCAGAATTTTTCAGGATATATAAAGATTATGAGGTGAAGGGCAAGTAAATAGAATTAAGATGTGCTATATACTTGTACCACTTCCCTATAAAAGAAAATAATCATTATATATTGTGAACTTATACCAATAAACATACACACAAACACACACACACACTCACACACACACACACACACACACACACACACACACACAAGCACGTATATGTAGCAAGTGGCAAGAACGATGGAATAAATGTATTCAAAGCAAGAGGGATATTTTTGAGAAGATTGATTGATGGTAGTTTGACTTTTATTCCAGTGCTTCAAAAAATCTTAACCATTCACTGTATATTTTCATCATCCTTTCTATATGTGGCTGTGATATATTGATGTATGCATGCATCATGAAGTCCAGTGACAAAATCCTGTCTTTATCCAAACTTTTCTTAGGATCTTTGGTGCCCTTCAGGGCAAGGCCTACCACTTGGACTGTCTCTAGCAAGTACAATGGTAAGAAATTTAGAGTGAGCCAGTGTGGATACAGTTTGATCATCCCCTGATATTTGATCAACCTCTTCCTTCCCCACAACTGGTGCCTAATCATAGGCCTGGAGTTAGCACAAACACTATTGGAACAGTTTAGCAAGCATTCCACTATGTTTGATACTTCTTTTAGTAATGTTCCATGGGTAATCCCTGTGTTTTAGCCTGTTGGATAAAAATCTACCACTGACTTTCTCTTATGTGGTATTGAGCAAAATCTATCTTCTATTGTCAGAGGGATGACTCCCTTTTAAACATTATGTGTACTGATGTACTTTGCTTGACAGAAATATATTTATGGTATATAATATGATTGGTTTTGGTATATATATATACATATTATTTAAATTATTTTTAAATTTAAACAATTAATCTATACTATGATTAAAATATAAAAGTATAGGTAAATACATATATGTTAAGTGTTCATGGCAAGTTTTCTAACTCCTTTTTTTTCCTAGGTCTTTCTGGTTGCATTTTTAATTTCATTTTTTTAAACATTCTTCAACTCTTAGTATCTATACTTGCTTAAAGAGATCCACCCAAAAAACATAAGGACATACTTAATTTTAGTTTAAAATTTTTATTTTATTAGTACATTTGCAGTTTAGGCAACAAAAAAATATGAAAAGCTTCATGAATTCTTTTGTCATCCTTATGCCAAGGCTGTGCTAAACTTCTCTGTATCATTCCAATTTTAATATATTTGCTGCTGGAACACCATACCTACATATTTTTAAAAATGCATATTATGGTAAAATGACTAAATCATGCTAACTGAGGTATTTATCACTTCATATCCCTCTCCCCAGACCTGTTTCCACCTTGAGGACATTTTCTCTGTTTGGGCACCATTAATACAAGAAACTGCCATTCACTGTCTCTACATAGTGGAACTGGCATGAAATTCACCATTACTTTTTTGTAAGTTCTCAACACATACACATTCAGCCTCATAAGATTCCCTTTATGTACAACAAAGCAGGAAAGAACTAAATAGGCCCCAGGAGAGACTGGTGCCATGTCTTCAAGAAAAGCATATGGGAAGATGTACAAGCCCGCTAGTAAGCAAAGAGACCAGCAATAAAAATACTTTTTCAGTCAGTTTTCTGTCCATCAGACTGCCAGGGAGATTTAAGTAAAAAATTGGCAGCTTTAATACTGCCTCAGGAGAGCCACCAGAAAAAAAATTTTTTTTTTTATTTTGTGCAAGAAATGCACTTTTTTACAAGGGGATAGGGCGGGGTGAGACCGGAGGTGCGCTCATTTGTGGCTTCGTACTGCCACCAAGTGGCCAAAATTTCAATAAGCGAAGATGAGAGACAGGAAGTTTTCATTTTGGCCCTAATTTCTGGTCCTCAGATTCAGACTGTTCCACTGAGAGATCAGAGTGAAATTAAGTAAGTGGAATGTGTTTGATCCCAAATAGCTAGCGGGGGTGCCATAGAAGCCAGTTTGCCATGCAAGCGTCATAAAGTTCTCTGGGTAGCTGGCCCAGCAGGCACAGCCCTAGCAACCAAAAGTTAATGGTCTTAAAGCCTGGCCCTTGAGAGAGGGTCAGAATCCCTAGGGCATTGTTGGACTGTGTAGCTGTGGTGGCACAAGCCTGTAATTGCAGCACATGGCAGATTGAGGGAGAAAGATAGCAGTGAGTTCGGGGCCAGCCTGGTCTACATAATGAGTTTAAGGGCAGCTTGAGCTACATAAGAGATCCTGGCTCCAATAAAAGCAGCTATGCTTATCAAGAGTGTGTGAAATTGGCCCACTCCTCAGTACCCCTGGCCTGAGCAATTTCAGCACATGGTTGCTTCTGTTCCCAGATGGTAGTCCATTTTAGTGGAAGGAATGATATCAAGGTGGAAAGCATCTTCATTCTCCAACACTATGCGAGGTCATCTCCAGGTATGCTGGCAAAGATGCAATTGCCCTCCTGCCTTTGTACTGTACAGAATTTGCCAGGCAACTCTGTGGTTTCTGCCTGTCAGCACCTTGGTGGCTGTTTGTCCTGTTTCTTTACTTTGAGAGTTAGGGCTCAGGCGCCAGTAAGGGACAAAGAGAAAGCCCTGGGACTGCTTCTAAAGGTGCCCTTCTCCCAACTTTCCATACTTTGTTTGTTGGTGAAGTATCACTTTTTTGAAGCAGTTTTGTCTTGTACTTTGGTTCCTTGTTTTGGGGCAAAGAAGACTGAAGCTCACAAAAGAGCAAGCAGGAAGTGGTGGTGAATCGCCAAATGTGTGTTTCCTGGAAAGAATGAACTTGGGAAGATCAAGTTGGGAAGGAGTTCCCTAAGATGGACACAGTAGATGTTTGAGCTCATTGTCTTCTATACAAGTTTTGGGACCAGGGAGCATGGCAGAAAGCGTGGAGGTTCCTGGTTGCCAGTGGACCACTGAGGATCAGAATGCAAGCTGCTTTATTTGCATTTGTCTCCTCCAAGGTTTCTGCCATTTGCTTAGGACCTGGCTCCTTTCTGTTCCTTTAATTTCTTTTCTTTTCTTTTCTTTTCTTTTCTTTTCTTTTCTTTTCTTCTCTCTCTCTCTGTCTCTCTCTCTCTCTCTTTCTTTTTTTCTTTCTTTTCTTTGTCCCTTGCATTCCCCCAGTACTTAGCTTCTTTAGGTTAATTTTTCAGGCCCTTTCATATGTTAACTCAGGAAAGCTCTGACTTGTAGTTTACTTTAGGTTAATCATTCATGACCCTGTGCCATCTGCCTAACTTTTTCTGTCTTCTTGCTTCATCTTCACTGAGCACCCTGTGGTGAGTCAAATTCTGCAGGCTCCTAACACATAAAGACACAAGGGCCCCATTGTCAGGAATCATTCATTTTACTGGGTGGAGAGAGACCTTAAGCATATCATCAGCTCAATTTCAGTTAGTGATAAGTGATAGTAAGAAAATAAAAGGAAGTGATATGATAAAAGAATGCAGTGAGTGTATCTCCATTTAGAATAGATGCTTAGATAGGTTGGGCTTCCTCTAGGAAACATGGTTAAAATCAGTAGAAGCGGTCCTGGGTTGTTTCAGTGACCTTGATAAGGCTTCTTCCTGGTTTTATGATCTCTTGTGCATTAACAGCAGAGACATGGATCACCAGAGACTATAGATATGTTTGCTGCTTCATTCCTTGCAGTTGCTCCTAGTGTCTCATAACTATTCTCAGAATAAGAAAGGTGTAGTACAAGGGATCAGTCGGATTCAGAAGGGCCAGTATAAGAGTGTGGACAACAAATACTGCTAGGCCTATAAGGCCTTGTGCACTTAAATTGAAGGCCTCTTTACACTGAAAACCCACCCTGGATTCACAGAATAGGGAAGCCTGGTTCCCTTTATTTCTGTGGTCTGCCTGCCTTTAGCCTCCTTTTTCCATGGGTCCTGGGATTTTATCCTTTGTAATCAGGTCTTTGTAGGCTTTTGCTTGGTTCACAGACAGAATTCCAGTGTTAGCAGTAGAAAGTTAATGGAAGTTTACTTGTGAATGAAGGTTTGGAATGGGTCTGCAGTACAGTAGTATGTCTTGCATAACTCTGGAGGTTTCTGAGTTGGCAGAAGCAGCCAGGGCTGTGATAATACAAGGAATCCCATGGCTCAGAATGAAAGAAAGACCAGTATTGAGGAATATTGTCTTGGTTATGTTTCTCTCATTGCTCAGGCAAAATACTTGACACCCAGATTGAAGGAAGGAAATTTGATTTAGCTTATATTTCTTGGAGGTCACATACTCAGCTGGCTCCAAGGCAGGATGGCATGACTAAGGGCAGCCTTCTATGGTAACCTCAAGCAATAACCGCTAACAGTGCAAAAAAGACAAAAAGGGAAAAGCATGCCTCCTTCCATCCTTTATATTTTATGTGAGCTAGTCATCCCTGAGCAGGTGCAGCACTGACACTGCCAATCACAGGGCTAGACAATGAATGAATCACAAATGCTTAACTCAGTTGCCTTGGAGAGGCCTACTCCCCATGATGGCATCAGTCTTTTGGGTGACGTTTAATCACACACCATGACAAATATAAACAAACAAGTGTTTATCCTGTGGTGGGCAATACTAGGATCCACTATCATCCTTGTTTTGGGAGAAGGTGCAAGTTTAAAAGCTATAGACATATCACAGGCTTGGTTTCTTCTGTCGTTGGAGTGGTGTGCATGGTGAGGGAAAATCCAAAAACATGTGTCTCCTAGAAAGTGGTCACAATAAGTTTCAGGGTTCAACAGTAGAAGCTAATATCTAGTGGTCCTAAGCCAAAAGTCCTAAGAAAATTCTGGTCTGACTCAAAAGAATAACTAGAGAACCAGTAGGCAAGAGAGGGTGGGGACCAGGAGGGTGTTGGAACTGACAGGTGGGTTGTTGTAGCATAAAGTAAAGCCTAGAACAAGTGCTGTGTGCCTTGTTTAAAGACACCTTCCTTCTTGCCTTAAATTGGGTTATCGGGGACATTCAGCTGGTTTGGTGTAGGGTAGTGGTGAGTCTCTGCCCCATTGTATTGGATGATGGGTTACAGTTGACTTCGATTTCCAGTTCCTCCCACAGTAAATGTCTGCCATTCTCTAAATACAGGCCATAACAGGATTTATTCTCTATGCTCTGAATTCTGACATTTCATAGCCACACTTTGCATGTAATTTAGCTACATTATTTTGGGGACAGAATTCCCAAGAGAGACAGAGGAAAGAGAAGGTTAAAGGAAGATGAAATGTTTGCCAGCCACGTGGTTTGATCTACAACAGTGATGATGAACCTTTCAGAACTCAGTTGTACATACAGGCCACTGTGATTTGTGTGCCATAGGTTCACCACCACTGATCTATAGTAATAATTGCCTACATTCATGTGATTAATCATATGATACCTGGTGCCAAGGCTTCCCTTTATGTGCCCTCCTTTAATCTTCATGGTGACTTGGGAACACTGGTACTGTTGCTATTTCCATTTTACGTGGGAGGAAATTAAGGCTTGGAGAGTTTAAGCAGCTTAGGTAAGGTTAAACAAATACAGTTATGATTTTAGTCTAGCATGTTTTCTAGCCTTGTGTTTCTATAAGTGTTTTCCCAAGAACAGCAGCAGATGGAGTTCCTGGGAACTTGTCAGAAAGGCAAAACCCAGATACTGACACAGAAAATGAAGTTGGAGTCCATCCATTTGTGTTTTCAGACACCTACAGATAATTCCAAAACACCCTCAAATTTGAGCACCAGTGCCCTAGACTGTGCCCCAGGTCTTCACCAATAACTAAAGTTCAAATTTCCAGAAAATTTGATGTGCTTACACATGACTTACACAGTCTGGTTCATGAGCTGTTTTGCATCCCATACTTTATTACAGAGGTTTGGTGCTGTTATTTTAATGCTGTATGTCTTAGATGAGCATAGATATTGATGAAGCGTGAAGTCATTGCCTCTTCAGAGACAGGATTTCTCAAAGCATACAGGTGATGGGGTTCTTAATCGTGTTCACTCTGTTTATCTTTTTCAATTGCATACCTGAGCATGAAAGTGATGCGTAAATCAGGTGCCAGATCCCATTCCCACCTGCTGAGCATTCTTTCAGAAATGCTTGGTGCAGACAGATTTTGGATATTTCTTTCCTTCTGTTTTCTTTCTTTCTTTCTTTCTTTCTTTCTTTCTTTCTTTCTTTCTTTCTTTCTTTCTTTCTTTCTTTCTTTCTTTCTTTCTTCCTCTCTCCTTTCTCACTGTCTTTCCTCTTCCATCCTTCCTTTTTATTTCCT